CTGAACCTGTAAAACCGTTTACCTACCCTAACCCTAATGAGGTACATATTAATGAAGGAGGTAAACAACTAAAATGAACAACTAAAACAAAACTGCTGTTTTATGGTAACTTCAGTCCTGAGATTCCTCTCTTGTGGTGTTACAGCAGATGTTCTAAGTAGAAGTTTGAAACGACCCGCTCTTGAGTCTTACTCCTGCTCTACATTTTGCCTTTGTTTCTGTCGGAAAGGTCAGAGTGTTCCACATCTGGAACTGGGGTAGCTCAGCCTCCTCGGGAATTTTGTTGTAATTGTCTATGTCACAAAAATCAATACCAGAATTCCACTGGCTCCATCATCTGTAGCAAAAAAAGGTTAATTTAAATAAACAAGCAAACAACTTGTGCTTATACAGAAGGTTCTGGAAGAGCAGTGCATGAAAGGACTGTTATGATTCAGTCTTGGCGCTACAATCAGTTGTGCATGCCCACAAGGAAGCAAGCAGAACCTTTTGCAACTATTAGGCACCAACCACTATCCTATTTCAATGCCAACATAATGTGCATCATAATGGAAATGTGAATCTGTCCCACTGGAATAATTTTTTGTCAAAGTCTTCATTCTATGGCCTGTATTTATACAGGGGTCAGAGGGTGCTTCTGGCCCTACAAGTCTTAACCCTGGTTGTTGTATATATGCTAAACACTTCCCTCATGCTGCATCTTCAGCACTTCTCTTCATGCAAGTTTTCAAAAAATACCCTGCAGCTAGTGAAGATATTAGCACGTTTTGTGTAAGAACTCTCTATTTTTGGTGTAACATAATGTCTTAAGGTACTTAGGCCTTAAGTAGAAAAGAAACTCCTGGATGAAGATGACTAATTCAGGGTGATTCCACCCATATGTTCTTCAGAGCAAGTGGAATGACACTAGTCTAATCTTATATGAAACATGTTTCTTCTAAAATTCCTAGTAGATCAATAAGAATTTACTTTGTTTTTGTGTTCCCAGATGTATTTTAAAGCAATGGCCTCTCTGCTATATTCTGGATGGTGATGTATCTTAATCTGCATGATGGTTTTTAAAATAAGATTTCCAAATATTTTCAGGAGGGAGAAAAATCACATCAGTATGGAGGATTATGTCAGACTGACAGTACAGCCAGAAGGAAAAATGATAGTCTAGTTTAATTTAAATGTGTTTTGCTGTACCAGTAATCAAAATGCGGTGAGTAGACAACATGCAGAAATCACTAAGTAATCTAGCTCGAGTGATGTCAAGGGTTGGTTGGTTTGCTTGATAAACAAGCAGAATTGCCAGTTAACTACAGTCAAAGTTAGTTATGTATAAGTGGGATGAACAGATACTTAAGGTACAAATATAAATTGACACCATTGTGGCTGACCGCTCCCATCCCAAATAAGGTTCTAGTGGTTTCATTGTGCAATTTGTCCTATCATTTGTACCATAGGGGAGAGAGGTGTCAGGGTTAAGTGTTTAATTCAGCACCACTTAGTCTGCCTGCCCCACTTCTTTACCCTCATCCATCTTTTTCTTTCCCCACCCCTTAAAAAACCCAACAGTTTAATGGTATGAGTTTGAAACTGCAGCAGTTGTAGTTGGGTTTTATTTACCTGGGGAGAGGAGTTGAGTCACCAGTTAACAATGAAGGGTTGCAGCATACCCCACACATGAATAGCACTAGTAACTAACCCTAAGTTTAGATGTAAATTACTTCTCTTTGCCTCTGGTATCCATTCCAGTCTCTTGCATTTAATAATTATGAGACAAAAATATGTTTGGAGATTTTCTTCTTTCAGTTTTCTCTCTCTCCTATTTTTTCTGTCAATAGACTTGCCTAAACTATAGTTAAGGGCTTTTACACTAGTACGATAGGATAAAAAAGTGCTAAAATAATGAACCTGACCATAAAATTACACTGACATTATTAGGTAACAGTTTTAAGTAACAGGAGATATTTATTAAAACTGGCTGCAGTATGTACCACTTTACAGACAGCGTATGTTCATGGCTCAGTCCCCTTCAGTGGTAAGTGGGACGCCAGGTAGAATAGTAAACTATGTTGGAGGAAAAAAGGACCTGTAGCATGGAAAAAAATGAGAATGAGATAAGCAAAAGGTATAGGGAAGAAACATAAATAGGAAACACATTTTGGAGGCTTTGGGGATGATTAGATCCGGTACAACTTTGAAATGCTCTTAAATAAGGGTGCTTTTTGCTTAAGACTGGGAAGAATGTTTTCCTTCCCAACAAAGAATGGACTTTCTTTAGCTTAAACAGGTCATTCATCTAATCCTCTGAAAACCGATATTCACACCCAGTTCCATTTTCAAGCAATGTGACACACAACAGTTCATATTTAATTTCTTTATGAATCCAGTAACTAATCTACGTAGTCCCTGCATTGTTCATCATTTTAGCTGTGCCTCACTTTATTACTAGCAGAAGCTACAGGCAGGGCTTAGTTCTCCATCAAAGTAGAGCTGACAGCTGCTCCAGAAAAACTTAAGGAGCTGTACAACAGATGAACTTCAGGCTGCTAGAGAAGCCCGTGTTGTGCCCCTACCTCCAACCATTTGCAAACGTTTCTAAAAAGAAAATAGGAATAAGCTGTCCATATCTTTCCCCTGACCTAACCATTGATAACCAGCTAAGGTCTGGAGTGCTGGCCTTGATCAACTTGATGGTGGGGAATGCATCAAACGATGCAAGAAGGCATTGTGGCCTGCTAGATGTGGGTTCTGTGCTCGACTGCCACCAACCTGCTGGGCACGTCACCACTTTTCTGTACCTTGACACAATGGAGAAATACACGAATACTGGCAAATTGCCCGTCAAAAACGACAGGGCTGGGATGGAGCCCTGTATCTGGCCCTGCACCCCCACCCGTCCCCCCTGCTGCTCCAGGTCCAGCCCCGCTCTACAACCCTTCCCCGCTACTCGCCTGCCTCCCCTGCCTGCAGCTGTTTGGGGGCCACCGTGATTGCCCCCCTTTGCCCTCAGGCGGGGAGGCATGGGGAAGCTCTGCTGCTTGAGCACCCGGGGGGCGTTCGCTGCTGACACAAACGTCCCTGGCAGCGGCTCAAACGTGGGGCCGCGCAGGCAGTCGCCACCTGCCCTCTCTGCAGCACGCGCGGTTGCCCAGAAGCGTTATGGACAGACGTACGCAGACAGACGTCTGTAATTACATGGGAATTCTCAGGAGAGCAGTTTGATATCTGCTGATGAACATGGTGTATGACATTAGGTATCACTACTGGGGCATGATGAAGCATCTGCCCTTTGAACCTGTGGACTTACGTTAATGTGATGGTGTTACCTACCTACCTACCAAAAACTTTGGCAAAAGAGATGTGCTGGGCGTGATTAACAGAAGGTGAGGTGGAAGGAGGTGTCTGAGCTGTGAGATGCACGTGGCTCCGGGCGAGCACAAGCCGGGTGGTTGATGCACGAGTGCTTGAGGCTGTTCCAGGTGAGCTGCCGGGACCTGGTGCCTCGCGGCCCCTGTACCCGCCACGGGCCTCCTGGGCCCGGCCCATCTCCAGCCCGACGGCTCGGCTCTCGGCGCTGCCACGGGGAGAGCTTGACCCCGACCCCGCCCCGGCCGGGGCACACATCTTCCCTCGTTCGCAGCCGGG